ATGTGGCTAGTAAAGAACCCGTTCTACAAACTTAACGATTTTTTAGAATTTCCTAAACCATTACATATTGAGTAATGATTGTACTTTTTTTTTCTCTCATAGTTATCCTCATCTGTATGTATTAACGAATTTCCCTATAGGGAAGTAGCTATTACCGTAGGTCTCATGGTAAGACCTAAGCCCGGGACCGATTTACTTTTTCATTTTGATGTCCCCAGAGGCCAAAAACACCATTCGTTTAAATTTTTATATATCTATATATATATATGTGTGTCCATCCGCACGATAACTTGAGTAATTTTTGTCCGATTTTGATAAAATTTTGTTTGAAGGTTTAAGGCGGGATAAACTTGAATGAGTTCGCGAACCAGCATGATAGGACTATGGGAACGGGGGTTTATGGGGGGTTTTATGGGGTAAAAATAGGTTTTTCTCATTTTTGACCCTAAAAACACGAAATTTCACAATTTCTTTTTAAACCATTTTGTAGAGCTTAAAAAAACCAATAATTTAGTATATTGAAGCGTTATTATACGCCTATTTGTTACGGAGAAAATTCAAAAAAATTTTAATTTTGAAATTCCCATGTTATTCTTATGGAGATTAAGTCAACTGTTGTAGTTTGCTTGTTTATGAACATATTTTGATCGATTTTGGAAAATACTTTTATTTCTTACTAAACTATTATCAATTTATAAAAAAAATCTTTTTCATCCTCCCTGTTGCAGCAAACCTAAGTACTCGTTAAACTTATTCTATTTAAATAGGAAATAAATGTGCTATTTTTATGGAGGCATTTTAGTGTAAATCCAATCAGGTTAATGGAAATTCGCTTAGTCTGCAGGTTTGCTGCGGCGGGGGTATTTTTTATTATCTTTGTATATTTTGATTTGACCTTGTACTCTACATCTATTGTACTCTTCCTTGACAAATGTTTACCAACATAATACCTTCATTGACTATTCCACATGCATTTGTAATGTTTATTGGAAAATAAAGCTTTGATTTGATTTGATTTGATTAAGTTAAGGCCTAGTGATGTGCCTGTAACTAAAATTATAATATCAATGACATTCTCTGGTTAACTTATTATAGTAAGACTTTCATTGTCAACTACCACTGCAAGTTAGAAACTGGATAAAAATAGGCTAAATTTACAGTAAGTTGCCTACTTCCTTACAATGATTACCCACTAAGTATTTACCCGGCCCACATCCTTACCTAAACGTAATTGGGCCTAGTTTAGTTTTGATAACTTGTGATAAGTTATGGCCCACTGCCAATGTTTAAAAAAAACCTTCAATATTGTGGAAAGTTGAAGCAAAAAGAGCCAATGTTTAAAAAAAACCTTTAATATTGTGGAAAGTTGAAGCAAAAAGAGGGATGCGAGAAGGCAGTGGGAAAGTGCATTAGGCTTGGCTGGCTAGGTTTAATCACCACAATAAAACAGTCCAAATACTTAGTTAGGTCTATAACTTAATAATAGCAGCCTACATAGGTTTTATAAGCCTAAGAATGTCTTGCCAACCTCTTAAACAAATTCAAAAAATAATTCGATTACAAGTTTTTTTTTTTATCAATAGGCCAAAATTAAGTACGGTAACTTACCACCTAAAGTTAAAATGCTCAAATAATTGTAGGTTAGGTATGTTCATAATAATGATCCTAGCCTAGGATACAAAGTGAATCCGTACCTTGATCGGTTACTTCGACAGTTCTGGCCATTGCCATTTTAAAGGCTTTAAATCATTATTTGACTTAGTACAAAATGTAAAATTCCATGAATAAAATCCCAAAACAATGTTGTCGCTACGCTCACGCTGTAGTGTGTTGTTGTGTGCTGTGCTGTTGCTGTTGCTGTTGCCGCTGTTGCTGTTGTTCTTGTTCTGTTATTCTATTCTGTTCGTTCTTCGTTCTGTTCTGTTCTGATCCTGATCTGCATCCGAGTGAGTGAATGAAATAATGAAATGATGATGCCCTCCACTCCAGTCTCCAATCTCAATCTCCTCCACTCCAGCCTCTGCTTCAGTTCGACTTTAGTCAGACTAGCAGCTCAGCACAATTTTTATTTCAGCTGCAGTTTTTTAATACGGACAAAATGAGAGTTTAAAAATTAGAAATAAAAAAAAAATATAAAAATACAAAAATATAAAATTAATTTTTTAGTTATAAAATTAATCTGTCATAACCTAACCTAACTAACCAAACTAGCTGATAATGAAAAATTGAATGAAGGTTTACTGATAAAAAAAATAGTTCTGTTCATAAAATAAAACTATAAATGCCTCAAATTCAATTTTATAATTTTTTAATCATAAAATTAAACTGTCATAACCTAATCAAACTTAATGATAATGAAAAAAATTGAATGCATGTTTACTAATTAAAAAAATAAGTTCTGTTAATAAAATAAAACTATAAATAGCTCAAATCCAATTTTATAAGGTTTTAATTATAAAATTAAACTGTCATAACCTAACAAAGCTAACCAAACTTGCTGATAATGTAAAAATTTAAGACAAAAAAATTGTGCCCTCGATGGGATTCGAACCTGGTACCACCAGATTCTTAGCTCGTCACGTTATCCACTAGACCACACCGAGGCCGATGGCTCGTTGCGGTAATGGTGTTCGAGAGCCAATAGAATTGTGGAAAAAAATGTTCCTTTTGCATTATTTTGTAATACTGGAACTGCAACGAGAACGGAATGTGACGCCATTTTGACCTGCGAATAGTCACTTTGATCTGACGTCACTTGGATGGCAAATAAAAGATCACCTGATTGTAACTGTCAAATTAGTATGTATTTGTTTTGTTTTTGATTATATACATAAAACATATATATATGCGCCCTATGGCACATTCGCCTATTGGGTCTGATGATGATTGGAGTGTCCAATCGAAATCGATCACCACTTACCATCTTTTTTGTATATTTACCGTCTTATGAGTAACAGTATAAGCGTAAATATATGTTCTACGTGTTACAAGACGTATCTTTAATTTACTTTCCGTAAATTTAATAACACATACAAATGCTGATCAAGGAAGTTATTTAAAATTAAACTGTCATAACCTAACCAAACTTGCTGATAATGCAAAAATCTTGTAAAAAATTATATATATATATATGAATTTGAATGGATGGTGTTTTGGGCCTCTAGGGACTTCAAAACGAAAATGTAAATCGGTCCCGCGGGTCCAGGTCTTACCATGAGTACTACAATAGCTTATTCCCTATATCGGGAATTCACTGAAAGGTGAATATGAAAATTTACTTGATCATTTAAAATTTAAAATATAGGCTATTACATTTAGAGGTGTAATCAATTATATATCCATCCAGGCGGTATATATACATACACACAAATAGTTGTTGTAGAGACTGAATCAACACGAAATCTCACAAACTATCACTCACTGTCTGCCACTTCGAGCATGATTCATAATAAATAATTCATATTATGGTACCTATATTTGTCTGCATATCCATTATTTCAAGGGGGGCCATTATCCATTATTTTCGCCCCTTGGTGGAGACATTCACAATTAACCACTGTACATGGTTTGATCCAGGAATATCAAACACAAATAGAAAACTCAACAGAGCAAATAAATATAAATTATAATAAAAAACAAACAAAAAAACTCAACAACATAACAATCAATGGGGTAATGGTTTAACAATGATTGGAGAATAAAATTATGACTTAAATAATGAAACTAGGATAAGAGGGCATGCTGCAATTGTGGAAAAACAAATTTATAAATAAATGAACACAGCAAACTATCCCCATACTCTGCTTTCACCCGCCCAATACAGGAACATTAACATAGCAAAATTGACAAAAACCGAAATAGATATGTTAAAAATAATAAATAACAAATAACAATTGGACAGACTAGGCTTCGGTGGCAGGAGACCAGGATGCGGCTACAGTACGTCTGATGGCTGCTAGGCTGTCATGGAAGAGCTCCACTGACGCAGATATGTTGTTGCCGGAACACAAGCACAGACAGACAATATGGAAACCACAGTATTATAGTGTATAAGCCTTGGAGGACTGTTCCGGAGGTAACTTCTTCCTGATTGCTCCAGCTCAAATAAATGCTATTCCCTTAGTCCTGGTGGGCACCCTGGAATTGATCTTCTCCATGAGGTAAAGGCAGAATACCTTACTGTTGAGGAGCTTGAAGAGGAAGGGCACACCTGCTACTCGTCTTCTTTCTTGTAATGGCTGAAACCCGTAGGATTCTGAGACGACATCATTTGAGACTCCTACAATGGGGTGTTCATACTATCTTTCGACGTACGGATGATGAAACCCAATACCTTCGATGATCTAGTACAAACTGAGTCAATGTGCAGATCTGGACTTAGTGTCCGACTTAGGTGTCAAAATCACTCCAAGATCCTTTATTGTCACTTTTCTCTCAAGTTTGGTATTGTGTAATATGCAATTACAGACGGTTATTTTATGCCATGCCCCTTGAGAAAGTGATAGTGGCACATTTTCTGTTATTCATAGCATAGATAAAACCATAGATAAAACATGATAAAACGTTGATTAGTCTATGATAAAACATACTCCCTTTCGACCCTCTAATAATTCATAGGCAATGCATTTTGGTGGTTACATATCTCATGCTAAGTTGAAAAGTTGAAGATTTGTTGAAGGTTTTCGCAATAATAATAATACCAATAATAAAGGTCTTTATTCCCCAATTTACCTTTACCCAATGCCTTCATTTTATCCTTCTAGCTACATAAAAATAAAAGTTATTTGTTAAAAATTATTATACAAGAATTATTTTACTTTTTATAGTATTGATAAACTCTATGTATTTGGGTTTGGCAAAATTCGGACTGTGCTGCTCCTTATGGCGCCATCATGAACTTCTTGTTAAGCAGACCAACCAATCAGAAAAGAGCACAATACTGGTGGACTGGACACTGAGACGAAAAAAAACGTCATTCATTATGTTTCGAGCTACCGGGCATAGCGCATGACTGCGGTTATGTTGACAAATTTGAAAGTTTTGTTTCGGCTTATGGTGTGAAATGAAATTGTGTTTGTGCAAAGATATTACTGTTAATGCAAAATTCACATTTTTATATAAGTGGTGTGAGTGTAAATTTTAATAGCTCATTTGGTTGAATATCGTCTAACCGAGTAGGCCTATTCAAATTTTCAGTAATCATTTAACCAAGTTTCATTTGTTAGCTTACTGAAAGATTTCTAGCATATTTGTTGTGTTAACTGTTATTCTGTGTTTGGTGCGCTTAAGTTATTTAACTGAAATCACAGATCTAAACACTTGGCAATTTTACAATCAATGTCTTAAAACATTACCAAAATGGGAGATTCTCCGAAATCGGAAAAGAAACCAATTGAAAATGGGATTTCAAATGACAGTGAAGACAGTGGTAACACCAGTGAACAGGAACCTTGTTTACCTACTAACTTGTCAGAGAAAAAAGAAATGGATATGACTGACACTTTGGACAGCAAACATCTGGATACAGAAATGATGAAGCAAAACAAAAGAAGGGCTAAGATAAATACAAAACCAAGAGTGTCAGTGTGGGTAACAATAAAGAGCTCCTTCGTCACTGCAATGAAGTATTTGTCCGAAAAAACTGGACTGTCAAATGTAGGGTTGGCTGTGGCAGCTATTATTTTAATACTATTCCTTATATGTTTGATTACCCTCCTCATTATGGGAATACTCTGGCCAACTGTTCCACATGAATTAAGATTTCCCATTTGTCGAAGATCAGCTTGTCTTCGTTCTTCATCACATGTGAGTACTTAATATAAATTGGCTACTTATTCTGAGCTATCTTTTTTCATGTCTTTGCCAATGGAATTTTTACAGGGGGTATTTAACTTATTGAAGCGTGCTCAAACACTAACTTACTTAATAAGGAAAGCGGTTCAAACCCATGTTGTTGTGGATGGGCAGGGAATTGAAGCCAAAACACATACCGTACCACTAGGCTGGTGTTCAATATTACGAGTACGTCGTCAAGTACCTTAGGAAAAGTGGCTTACATTTTGCATGGCCAGAGAAAGAAGATATTTCGTTAGTAGGAAGAATATGACATCATTGCTATTCTCCCTGTACCAGCCCCAACTAGGAGGGGGGGGGGGAAAGTGATTTTCAAAATCAAATTTGATACCTTCAATGTACAGTACAATAAGAACCTACTACGGTACGGTACGGTTAGGCCTATAAACATTGTAGCGGTACCGTACCGTACAGACAATTTAAGACTGAGTGCAAATTCAGAATTTAATTTTTTTAATCCATAGGCTATGCCTAAAAGTGATCAGTTTAAAGTGTGTAGTACTTATATGTTATGATTTCTATTAGGCCTATTTTAGTTCTAAAATCCTGATTTTTTAACACACTCAATGTTGTGCGGACTTTCAAAGCCCACTATGGCAATATTAGCCAAGAAAAAAATTATTAGGCCTACAGCCATTTTATAGAACTTTGTGATATTTTTTCATAATAAACTGTGTACATTAATCTATAAAAGTGGTTACCGGTAGTTTAAAGCGTGTCTAGGACTTCAACAGACTCAAAGTTGTGCGGTTTTTCATCACCGAAAAATTCATGATAATTTTCCAAAGGTTATAACTTTTTATCCAAAACTTATAACTTTTAACACGTTCGCTGCGGGCCATCAAATGGCAGGCGTAGCCCCAGTGCGGCGCAGCCCGCAGCGTCGAACAAACCCGATTGCCGGGTGATTGGCTCTCATATTTCGGTATGACGAATAGCAAATAACGTGCGGTGATGTCCTGTTTTATAACAAGAGTCGACGTAGTTTGCTAAACACTCACAGATAGCAGCACTGCTTGGAACGTAGCCGGTCCCATCGTATTGCCAATTGGAGGGAGAAAGATGGGACAACAAGTTGATTTTTAAGTTTGCCAGACGGGGATTTTATGGGGAAATTTTACTACCAACCTACAACACAACAAAAAGCAAGTCACCCACTACACGCTAATGTGGAATAGGTCTGACTTCGACCGACGCTAGAGCAAAAACGATGATATACAAAACGCATTGCCGAGCGTATCCGATCGGTTACAGCAGCACCTGAACAGCGCTCGGCCCGTATCCGATCGGATAAGCCCGCAGTGAACGTGTTAATGATATTTTTCCTATCAAACTATGTATAATTTATCTTAAGTGCCCATTTTATTTAAATCTCAATTTTTTTTTACTTAGGAGTAACATTTTTGAAAAAACATTGTACCAAATTGTATTGTCAACCGGCGTTAGATTAACCCCTTTTTTGATGTTTTTGTTGATTAATTTTTGTTTAGGCTATATTGATTAATATTCACAATATATTTTTTTAAGTTATAGACAGGTACTGTGTGAATACCTTCCAGTAATTATTTTGTTTTTTATGATCATATGTTAGTTATAAAAAAAATAATAAAAGGGGTCAATGTTACCCCGTGTCTTGGGGTGACATTGACCCCCTACATTAATTTATTAAAATTATACATAATAAAGCACTGGGGTCAATGTTACTAGTTTACAATGAAACTTTGACCCCTGTAAAAGGGGTCAAATTTTACTTATGAACAATAGAGTGGTAACAACATCAAGGAGTGAACATAACAAATTTTTTTATGAACACACCTAGGTTATAATGATGGAATAAATCGAATTAGCATTTTTTTTTTTAAATCACATGATTAGGATGTAACGGATGTAACACCAAGGTAAAACATCAAAACTACAAGTTATTAGAGACTAAAATCATAAAATTTTCTTTACTCAAACCCTCCCAAAAAAGTTATAGAAAATTTTGCGCCCATCAGATTCCAGAGTTCCCGGCAACTTACCAATCAGATCTACAGATGGGGCAGAATAGAAAACACATAATTTTCTTTTGGGTGTAAATTTGTCCCCATAGTTAGTGTCAACAGAATTAAGTCACATTACTTCAACAAACTGTTAGTTTTTTTAACTTAACAGGCAAAGACCTGGTTAAAGTGTTGTTTTCCTCGCTTTCCACAGATTGCTTTTACCTCAACTTCATAGATAAAAATAAAACAATTATAAATCAACTTTTTTAGTAGGTCTATCACATTATAAACATATATCAATTGAATTAAATAGGCCTATACCAGAATCAATAAAAATGATGTGTAATTATTAGTAACTTGGAATTATAACAAGGGGTCAAAGTTATCCGAAGGCAAAAAAAATAAGTGGTCAATGTTACAAGGCCTTAAAAAACAATTATTAATTTATTAAATTTTCTTTATTTGCTTGTAATAAGTGCTCAAATATTCCTAAAAACATATAATTTTAACATATAAAATCCTGACAGTGCCAGAACCAACAGTTTTTGCTGGGCTGAAAAAGTTTTTTGTTATGAAATTATACTGTTTTGTAGATGATTGTATTATAATTTTTTTTATTGTTATAAAAATAATTTCTGCTAAATATTATTTGTTTTCAAATTGCTGCCAATCTACTGTAATTTATCATATTTTTATTTTCAATTTATTTATAACCTACTAAGAAAAAGAATATAATAAAAATAATTGACCCAGGGGTCAATGTTACCCCTGGGAGGTCAGAATTACCCCGCTTGACGGTAGCCAAAAGTCTGCTCTTTCTGACCATTGTAGCCCCATATCAGTGAAGAGAGTGTAGGCCTAAGCAGTAGTACCTACCTAATATGTGTGACCAGAGTCACCCCACTCACGGGGTGACAATGGTCAGCAAAAAAAAAATTCTCCAATCTCCTTTCAGATTAATTTTTTTTCTATAACTCCCAATAGGCAACAAGATTAGGGGTATAATATACTATGAACATAGAATTACGGTAACTTACGTTGAGAATTAACAAAGTTACAAATGAAAATGTGTGTTTTTTGACCATAGTCACCCCGCATGACGGTATTAAATGTAACTAAGTTCCTTATTTATTAACATCTTGATAGCCTATTATCTAATAATAATTTATAACAATTATAACAATAAGTTATAGCATTTACACTACAAACTATGATAGGTATGAAATGTCATTAACATTCACACTCATTTCACACATCACACATTATTATATTGAACGTTCATTCTCACCACCCACTATTATTTCAAAATAATTGTAAGGTTTTCCTGGATCTGAATTCATTTCTGAGAAGATAAGACCTCATGTCTGTCCTCTGATTGATCGGGTCACAGAGAACATACTACTATAACCCAGAATGCCAACCGCATGGTAAAAAGGATTAAGTGTTTTGAGAGAGCTTTGCCTGTCAATTCGTAGGCAGCCATACACTCAGCATAGCAACGCTGGTGGCGCTGCCTACGAATTGACAGGCAAAGCTCTCTCAAAACACTTAATGCTTTTTACCATGCGGTTGGCATCCTGGGTTATAGTAGTATGTTTTCTGTGATCGGGTGAACATAATGTTTTCTTCCTTTTGGGTCCAGCTTTGCAAAACCTGCCATACAGACTTTCTCGTCAAACATGTTTTAAAGGCACTACTGTAAGACCAATTCAAATAATATGATTTTCTGTTGTTTAAAAAAAAATGCTGCGTCATGCTTGAACCTTCAGCACACTTTCGAGGAAGAGCAAGAAGCAAAACGCTTGAAGCAAATTGTTGTTCAATATTTTGCTTCAGGTGAAGCTCTGGATCAGTGTCCGCCCAGCTTTAGCTTATACTTCTACAAGATATATCAATTATCAATCTGACTCAGTCGACAATTGCCTACATTCCTAGCTACCCCAAACTGTCAAAGACTAGGACTCATTATATCTAAAGTTAACTTGTAATTAAATGGTGAATAAATATGTCATGTTAATGAAAACACTTTTGTCAAAATTCAATCGGATAAATGGAAATTCGCTTAGTCTGCAGGTTTGCTGTAGGGGGGGTTAATTTATTTTACTAAAGCATGTCCAACGCTGTAAAAAATCCACTTTTTGTATATTTGTAAAAATACACATGAGTAGTCTACAATCAACCACACACATACATAGTATACATGTTTTCCTACACCAAAACATTCAAGTAAGTTAGGTAGGTAGCAGAAGTTGTGCTTAAAATGGCTCTGGTTTATTACTAGGACCAACCAGGAATAATAAAGCATCCGACAGGCCTGGTAGTATGAACGCTTCACTGGTTATTGATGAGTGTGTCGTTACGGTTGAACCTCTCCGGGCGTTGTAGTGGTATTGTCTTCCCACAAGGTTCTTTTTTTTTAAATCTTACTCGTTCAGTTAACAAAGTGTGTTTGGCTTTAACTTCGGTATCTTAAGCTTCTTACAAGTTCACTATAAGCACTTCAAAATCAAAAATATTTTAATCATTCTGTCATTTTAATTAATGAAGAATTCTTTCTTTTTTCATTTTTCTTACAATATTGAGTAGGCCTATCCTTTAATTTTTAAGTTAACATGCAACGTGACAATTTGTTTCTCTGTTTTAGTTCTGGTTTGGGTTTCTATTTTCCTATAAAAAGGAGAAACGTAGTACTGCATTTGTTAGCCACAAAACACTTTTATTTTATATATTCTCTTGCTGTTTCTGTAGTGTTTTGTTTTGCCCATATAACACTTTTAGCGAATTTCCCTATAGGGAAGTAGCTATTACCGTAGGTCTCATGGTAAGACCTAAGCTCGGGACCGATTTACTTTTTCATTTTGATGTCCCCAGAGGCCAAAAACACCATTCGTTAAAATTTTTATAATATTTTTAAAATTTTATATATATATATATATATGTGTGTCCATCCGCACGATAACTTGAGTA